GGGGGTTGGTGAGAGCTCACAGGGGCAAGCAGTAGCCACGGGTGTGCTTTGCGGGAACACATCGCTGACCCGTAGCCGCTCGAAATTAGTGGCCAAGGCAGGGTGCCTATTTATTATTGCTTGGAGGCCTGTAGACGTGTTGGATGCCGAGGTACGAGATAAAACGGTCCTTTGGGTCTTCGTCTCGCTTCGGTTTTGGTTTACCCTATATTATTAGCCTTGAATCTGAATGAGAGATGTGCAACCTTATGCAGCGCTAACCTCTATCAAATCCCGCGTGCAGCGCAGTGACGAAGTCAGCACCAGGAGTGGGGCAGATGGGAAGCCAGCGCCACGGAATTGAGTGTGGCGCATACGCGAGCCGATTTTTCAGCCACAACAATCACGTGGACCTATACCCAAGCTGTCAATTAGGGTGTGTGAACCAACCCACCAAAAATCCCACCATCACAAAATTGGAGGAGAACGCTTTGCCTTCCAGTTTTTGCGCCCTGATCGATACGCATTCCCAGTCCTCGTCACCTAAATCAAATCACAATGGCCAAGCGCACGACCAGTAAGTAGAGTCGAACAGATCGATGCCGCGGACTTCGAGAGCCTGATCGCTAACACGCACTGCAGAGGTCGGTATCACCGGCAAGTACGGTACTAGGTACGCAGAGATACTCCCTTCAGCTCGATAGTGAATTCAACCCCGATCCGCCTCAACGATCCGGCTCCTAACCCTCGAGCAGGTATGGTGCCTCCCTGAGGAAGCAGGTCAAGCGCATGGAGGTGTCGCAGCACGCCAAGTACACCTGGTATGTTTCCCCTCCAATTATCGATGCGCCCGACGCGGGGTGCAAGCTGGGGAGAGAGGGCGCCTGGATTGGGAGCCCAGTCTTCTGGGCTCCGGCTCTGGCGCCGTCAGAGCCGTAGCTCTCTTGGAAGCATGGCATCGGGCTGACCAATGCCCGTCCCGGGACAACAGCACCTTCTGCGGCAAGAACACCGTCAAGAGGACCGCCGTGGGCATCTGGCACTGCGGTGCTTGCAAGAAGACCATCAGCGGCGGCGCCTACGTCGTCGCGACCCCTGCCGCCTCCGCCGCCCGCTCGACCCTGAGGCGTCTGCGTGAGATTGCCGACGTCTAAGCATGACGCACGCAATTTCTCTCGACTCTCTCCCATCTCTCGCAAGCCCCGACCGACTGTGGAAATACCACATCGACGGAAACAGGCGACGACGACGGAAAAATGGAAAATTTTGGGTTGGTGACGGAGCTTTTGGGACTGTCCTCACGGCGTTTGTTTTGATGGCAAATATGCATGGTTCTTTTTACACGGGCATTTACTTTTTCCACCTCGCACGGGATGTCCTCGCAATGACGGACGGAGGGCAACGTGGCTCTGCTCCCATGACCGATCGCCACATTTCCGCGCCATTGGTGGCTGGGCTTTCCAACCGTCCTCATTGTTATCTCTCCTTTGGATCATTGGATTTCCACCAAGGATCGGGCGGACGGATGGCTTGGGAAATTTTCGGTGACGAGAAGACGATAGAGGAAGCCGGGCATAACAAGCCACAACCGCTGATGGCAGCTGTGGTGTCCTGGCAAACACGAACACGACAACCTCTCGCAAGTTAATCTTTGAGCGTAGACGTGATATTTCAGTGTGACCAGGCGCCAAAGTTTATGGGTAAAGCGTGTAAGTTTGCTCGGAAAGGGGGTATTGTCGACAAGCAGGCTCGCATGGGAAAGTGACGAAGCTCAATATACGTAGGGCGCATGGTTTCTAAAAAGACGCTTGCCCATAATCACTAATGGCATGAGACCGTCCAAGCTAGAGGGGATACGCGGTATTTTTGATCTCACCGCCTGGAGATCCTCATTGCGGCATGGGGGCCTTCCTATGCCGGGATCACGCGGCTCTCTCCTGGGTTGCCAGCAAACAGATGAGGACCAAGGCTCCCCAAGCCTCGAGGTGCCGGTGATGGGTCGGCAAGTGCGGCACCGCCCACGCAGAGTCTAGCGCCCAGAGTCATGCATGTATGTACACGGTCGCTCGCGGGAGTGGTGTCGCCAATATAAGCAAGATTCGTCCTCTGGCCGCCCCCTTTTGCGTCGTCATCTTCGATTTTTGGTTCTGGGGGCCGATCGGCCAGCTGGGCTGGTGGGGCCAGACTGCCGGCTGTCTTTGAAGCCCACGGACTTGACCGAACAAACATGGAAGCACCGGCCGATGACAGCTCCCCCCCCTCCTGGTTCCTGACAGGAGGCGCTTCGACGACCTGAAGATGCGAGCATGCCCCCTGGGTTGCGGCCGGCCTCTCCCGCCGTGCTACCGAACATGCGGTCTATGACAGCCTGGCTGGCTTCTTGTTACCGTAGATTCGTCACTTCCATCAATCGCTCTTGAACCTGTTGGGTTTTGTCTGTTAAATACTGCCTGTGTGCATCGTGCCCAAATACGTGGGCACTGGGCTTGGTATGCTTCTTGGCATGCTTTTTGGCATAGAATATGTGTTTACATGTCTCGCAAGCTCAGCAGTCGCAGCATATTTGAAGATTTCGGGTTGATTTGGGAACTTGTCGCTCCCGCTTCGAGTGGTCCGCACCAATAGAGCGAATTCATGGCAACACCCGGGCACGAGCGTTTCCGAGGTTGCTGGGGTTCCTCGGCTAGAGCCAGGTGAGGGGGCTGCGATGGTCCATCCAGCCTCCTTGCTGCGGCCAAAGTCCGCAATGAGAAATGAGAGGGCATTGGGCGTGGTATGCACTGTATCCGTGCACCACCTTGTCGTTGATTTGGTGCAATTGCGGAGGTTGGACAACATGAATCTGGCCAAGGCTGCTTCATAAGCAAAGCGGAAAGCGGCTGATGATAGAGGTCAATGTTGGTTGTTTCTGTCGTCTTGTCTGCACGGTACGGTGACGGCGGTTGGCGGGCAGGGTCTGGGCCATGATTGGCGGCATCTGCGCGTGGCGCCAAACGCCTGCCCTTTGTGGAAATCGATATCGAGCTCGTTTTCTCTTCGCGCTGGGCGCAGGGACACGCGGCCACCGATATGGAGATAGGACAGCGGAGAGAGCGTGGGACCGCGAAATGAGGAGGAGTCAGGTTCGGGGGAGGCCATGCTTGGCTCCCCATTTGGGCCGATCGCCCTGCAACCCAGGCGGGCGGAGCCTGCAACGCCAACATTAGAAAATTGGAGCCCAGGACGGACAGCCAGAAGGACGGACAGCCTCCTCGTAGCACGACGAGGGCGCAAGCCGCAGGTGGCCCCGCAACTGGGCTGCCACTTCGCAGGCTGGTGGCACTGCATGTGCATCCAATTTGCATTTGCGTTTCTGCCCCAAGTCATCAATCCATGTGCTGCGCTGGCGTCCCCAACTTCCCTTCCCGCCTTGTCACGCCCAGGTATTGACACTGCCACCAACTGCCCGTCGTGTAAAGAGGGCAGGCTTATTGCCTTGGATGCCTTGTCTTGACTCTACGCGCGCGCATTGGTGGTCGCCGTGTGTCCCTGTCCTGTACTGTATGCCATTTGATCCTCGCTCCAGCGCATAGGGCGGCTCCATTTCGTCAGCGTACGTGGCACCCGGGCGACCTTCTTCCCGCAGCTCTGGCTGTGCCGAGCGATTGAGTGCCCCCTGACGGTCCAATCCAGCAGCGCTCCGTCCCCCCAATTTCTGCCTCCCCAGCCCTCGCACCACAACCCGAAAGCCCGAAGCGGTTTTTCGAAGCTGGTCCCCTGCAGAGCCAAGCACTCCTGCTCAACAGGAGCCACACACCTCACCCGGCTGGACCATAACCGCCATCCACAGCCCCCTGTGCTAACTCCCTCTTCGATCCTCTCCTATTTTTTTCTGGTCCCTGGTCACGACACAGCACAACACCGACTAATCGTGGACCGACCGGAACGGCTGCCCATCTGAGCATGTCTAGGGCAATCGGCCGCCACTCGCCCTTCTCCTAACAACGCCCCCATTTCCCCAGCATCCTTTGGCAGCCGTCATCGCTCCTGGGCCGCTCAGCAGGCTCGATACCCCCCAAACGCCCCCATCCCCAGCCGCCTCGCCCGACGCGGAAATGCCCTCGTTCCTGACCCAGCAGCACGGGAGCAACCACGCCTACGGCCGCAACAGTGGCATCGTCCACCTCGATCTCGACGGCTCTTACGACGGCTTCTCACGCGACAAGGTCAATGGACCACAGCACACGTCCAAAGAATCCTCTTCGCACAACTCAAATGACAGTTTCGACGCGGCTTCCAGCAGCAGTTCTAGCAACACGTCTACCGGCTCGTCCACCGCCTGTCCCGCCAACGAGCGTCTGAACGGCGCCGGCGCGGCGGACGCTGCCAGGGAGAGATTCAGGACCGCAGCCAAGGCCGCCGCCATGAATTCGGCGACGGTTATGGTCAATGGGAGGACAGGCGTCGAAAAGCTGGGATCGGTCCAGTCCGAGATCCTGACACGCAAGTCGCTCTCGAACGGGATTTCATCCATGACGCTGGCCGATCGGACTGTCGCGCCGCCACAACAACCAAACCATAACCATCAGCAGCACAATCACGAGCGTCCTCGCACGCCACCGCACCGATTGAGCAATGGCACACGGGACGCTAATCCCTCGTTCGTGCCAAACAATCACAGCAGGGACAGCCACCCGTGGTCTTCGGTGGCATCGACAAATGGCGAATCGATACCACCGACTCCTCACGAGATGCAAACGAGGCACGTAAACAAGGGCGACTTCACGCCTCTGGATACATCTCCGCCTAGTGCCACCCTCATCGTACCATCTAGCAGTCTGCCTGGCTTTTTCTCCACCCCGATCAGTCCTGGTATATCGAGCCCTTTGTCGGAGCCGGGCAATCGCCACACCAACCAGCCGCACAGGTTTTCCTCGCCGCCTCACTATCATTCAGCGGGGGGCACGCCCAGCTCATCCTCTGCCGCTCTGGCCCCACCTGGCCAGGGACTGAAGCATCGCCATACCCTAGAGGTGCCCAAAGCCGGGCCCTCTCGAGGCTCTCGGGATGGGGTAGACACGGCCTATGCCAGCGGCCGCTTTTCGCCCACGGGCACCCCAGTTGGTGGCCGGAGGCCATCGTTGAGCTTGGCTCGGAGGAACACGAGATCGCTTCACTCCGATATGCCGCGAGACGAGGTCATCCCCGACGACGATGCTCTTAGGTGGGCCGAAGCCTATCGCCAGAAGCGCGCCAGCAAGCGGAAGCGCTTGGAGTTGGAGGACGATGATCGCGTGCTCGTTGGCACCAAGGTCGACGAGAGCCATGCCAACTGGGTCGCCGCCTACAACATGCTGACTGGAATCCGGGTTTCGGTCTCGCGCACAAATGCGAAGCTCGACAGGCCACTGACCGATGAAGACTTTCAGACGAAGCAAAAGTCTACTTTTGACATGTACGTATCCGCCCCAACAGAAACCCGCTGCTTTCATCTCTGGTATGACACCATTGCTCACTAGGTCCCCTTCAGCGCCGGTAACGAGCTTGTCCCTTCCGCCAAGTATGACTTTAAGTTCAAGGACTACGCCCCGTGGGTGTTCCGACGACTTAGGGCTCTATTCGGCCTTGACCCGGCGGACTACCTCATGTCTCTGACCGGAAAGTACATCCTTTCCGAGCTCGGCTCACCTGGAAAAAGTGGCAGTTTCTTCTACTTTTCGCGCGACTACAAGTACATCATCAAGACCATCCACCATGCCGAACACAGGTTTCTGCGCAAGATCCTCAAGGACTACTACGAACATGCTCAAAACAACCCGAACACGCTGTTGTCGCAGTTCTACGGGCTGCATCGTGTCAAGGTCCAGTACGGCAGGAAAATTCACTTTGTGGTCATGAACAACCTCTTCCCACCGCACCGCGATATCCACCAGACCTTCGACCTCAAAGGCTCGACGGTTGGCAGGGAGTACAGGGAGGACAACCTGGGCACGAACCCCCGGGCAACGCTCAAGGACCTGAACTGGCTGCGGCGGCAGAAGCATCTGGAACTCGGAATCCAGAAGAAGCAGCTTTTCTTGGAACAGCTGAGGAGGGATGTGAAATTGTTGCAGAAGCTCAAGATCATGGACTACTCGCTCCTGATTGGCATCCACGATCTGAAGAAAGGAAACGACGAGAATCTGCGGCACAAGACGCTCCAGGTGTTTAACCCTGGAGGTGCCGCGGACGCAGACGACCAGGATCCGGGGAAGTCGGTGCTTCTCCGTACGCTGTCCAAGTTGGAAAACCAACGCAAGGCCCGGGAGCTCCGACAGATGATCAAGTCGGAGCGCCCGATTCCGATGGGCGAGGGCAGCAGCACTATGCCCGACGAGCTCGAGGAGGGGACAAGATCCGACTGTGTTTTCTACAAGGACGATGGCGGATTCCAAGCCACCCACGAAGACAACACGCCGGGAGAGGAGATCTACTACCTCGGCGTCATTGACTGCCTAACTCACGTAAGTTCGCAACCCATCTGCGCTTCGGCATATTGACATGATGGACACTGACAAGGCACGTGCAGTACGGAATAATCAAAAAGATTGAAAACTTCTGGAAGGGACTCTCGAGCGACCGAACCCAGATATCCGCCCTCCCTCCAGAAGAATACGGCGACCGCTTCCTTGACTTCATGTCGGGCATAACAATGTCTCCCGAAGAGGCTGCGCGCGACGCGAGAGATCGCGAGGCGAGAGAGCAGGCATCCGCTGCAGCAATTGCGGCGGCTGAGCGACACGATGCCGCGGGCAAAGGAAAGGAGCGTGTCTCGAGCTGGAATAGCAGTATCCGGCGGAAGTCAACATCGGGTCCTTCTGGCATTCCGCCCATCCCTACTCACCAACCCCCTCCGATTCCGCAGAAGGCCTCCCCCGCGCGGTCGCCCGAGGCAGATGCCGTAATCCGGAGGGCTGAGCAGGAGGCGTTCAAGAACCAAGATCGCGAGCACGACGTCCCAGAGAGGGTCATCCGTACGATGGTCCCGGCTCCAGGGGGACTCTCCACCTCAGCAACCACCGCTCCCAACAGCATTCTGGTGAATGGCCTCGCAAACTCTGCGGGGCCTTCGGAGCGTCGCGAGTCTCTCCAAGGCAATGCAGTGCTTCCCGTTGTGGAGGAGACTGCCGAGGCATCGTCTACTGGGGGACGCAGCAGGAGCCGCGTCTCGATCAGGTCGGCTCTCTCGACGACGGATAGCGAACGTCCGGTCACGCCAGCCAAAGACGCGCCTAGCCTCCCTGCCATGTCGCAACAAGCCGGCTTTGGGATCATGTCGTACAGCTCCAGTCGTGGAAGCAACAGGCCTCCTGGGCACCCGCCGCCGACACCTCCCAAGAGCAGCCATCTAAAGCCCGAGAGCGCCGATAGCGGATACGGAGTCGTGGGTGGGGGTACCAGTGTCTCCACCGGCAGGGCCAGATCTGGCTCTGGCTCGGCAAGCCTGGGCAAGGGCGGCATCAGCCGGAGCAGTCTGGATAAGGCCCTACCACCGCTTCCTGGCAAGAACGACCGTCTCCACCTTGACGAATTCGGGGCAGCTCTCGATCGACTATGATTGCGCTTATAACATACCGGCAGTTGCATCAGGCCATCGAGTCGACCCATCTATATATAGGGCATACTGTGCGCGAGGGGCTTTGGATTAATCTCTCTTTTGCAAGTCGGTCGCCTAGGCGAGATTTGAGGGCCTCTTCACGGAGGGCGGAGCCGAAAAAAATACTGCAAACAACCCCCTTCCTTGGCTGCTTCTTTGAGCATTTTGGGAAACCCTTGCAGCCCTTTCTTTTCCATATTTCCATGTCTTCCCATTCTCCTTGATTCTCTACTCTATTCCCGCGACATCGTCATGATACCACACTATTGCATGGAACAAGCATAAAATCAGCCTTCTGTCTCCTGTCAGTCTCTTTTGTCGATGCGTATCTGCTTTCCTTTGTTGAAATACTTTTATCTTTTTTTTCTTCTTGTTAGCCACCTCTTGGTCCTATCCACCTTGTTCTCCATTCCCTCTTGTCACATCCCCCACCTGATCCCAAGTCGCTCCGACTCACCTCATGCCCTCCTGTGCCCGCTTTCTCCATTTTCGCCTCCCCATCCATCCGCTCGCTACCCAAGGTCCCTTGAATATCCCGACGTGTGCGGGCCGTTTGTTTGGCAGACAATCATGACCGGATGGATCACAGCTTTGAAACGGGGAACCAGTGATGTCCTTTCTCTTCATTTTGTACGGCGCCTCATGCTTGGTTCATATCGTTTTGCTCTTCGTAAAGCCCGTCTCTGCAGCCCCTTGGCCAAGCTAGATACGCAGGGGGTGGTTATCGGGAGGATGCGGTCGCAAACGAGGATGCGGTCGGCGATGGTCATATTGTAGATATAATATTCTCGTGGTGTCTTTTGTCACTTTTTTTCCTTCTACTTTTTCTTGACGGCAATACCTCATAGACCTCCGTTGGATGCAGCTTTCTCCCGGGCGGGGAAGGGGGGGTGAAATAGAAAGGTCGTTAGCAGTTTAGAATATGAGACTGTCCATTCTGTAGCATTAGGCCTGTGCACATGAATGATTCCTGACTTGCTTGGCATGTGGTTGGGTTAGCGACCGTGATGACCTTTTGAGAAGACGTGCAGATATGCAAAGATGCATTTGTATATCATAGACAGATGTACATATGCGGTAGAGTCTTGGTAATATTTCGTAATCTTTATCTATGCTGCCGTCTCTAGGTGGCGTCGAGTGCATAGGTTGCTCGTGATTTGTACATTGGTTACCACTTTAGATTTCTTGTCATAACCTTTTTCTTTTTATACTTTTACACAGAGTTGTCACAAGGTAATCATGGCTACATGTTGCGCCTATTTGAAAGTGACATTAGAGTCCATCTTGATGGCGCCTTGTGCCTCGAGGGCCTTTAGCCTCTGCTCTTTTTGATAGTTTGCAACCCTGTACTTCTTAAAATGTGCAACCTGGGCGCGAGTGAGAGGAGGATGGTGTTAGTAGGAGTCTGTTTGCTTGATAGCCGTGTCTTTACCCCCTCCTTGTGAAAGGACGTACCCACTGCGCGGCGCAGTTCTGCTCAAACACGCTAGTCTCGGGGCCGCACGCCTTGCCGGCGGACTTGGCGTCCTTGACCGGGTCGACGATGCCGGCCTTGTCGAGGCAGGCAAAGTAGACGTCGCGCGAGTCCCAGCAGCGCTTGCGCTCCGACCGTGACGGCACGACGGCGCCCTGGCGCACCTCCTCGGCGCGCTTCTGCTCCTCCGACTTGAAGAGGCCGAACATGACGGGCTGGGCTGGGCTGGGCTGGGCTGGCTGGCGGGGCCGGATGGGTGAGGAAGAGGGTGTCGCAAGGCTTTGCGTTGGTAGGGGGGTGGGCTTTCTGCCCGCTGCGGCTGTTGCCTTTTTTACTTTTATTTTTCGAAAGCTAGCGTGCGCGGCGGTGGGGAGGGGGCGGCCGCAAGTCGTTGGAGGCGCACGTCGTCGATTTCTTGCAAGCGTCGACGGCGGCGGGCGAGAAGCTCCACTGACGTAGGTGCTTTTTTCTTCACTTGGAGCTTCCTGACTAGGAAGCTTTCGATGCGCTGTCACGTGCTGCGCCAAACTGCCGGGACCGCACGGGAACTGAGATCCGCCAACGCTAGACCCCCTGCCTGTGCGTGCGCCTCTGGAGCGAGCCGGGAGTCGAGGTGGGCCCAAATTTGTCGAGGCACCAGCGATGCGGCGCCTTGACACGCATCGCGGCGACTTACTGGCAACCCCTTTTTGCGACATAACCAGCACGCCCCAACCCCTGTCCTTAAACCGGCTGCCAACCGCGACCGAATCCCTGAAAAATTTCGACTCGGTGCCGAGAAGGCTCGCACAGGACGACTGCCTTGCGCGCCCAGCCTTGCCATCCTCAGCATAATAGACGCATCCCCCACCTCCAGCGATCCGGCCGGGCGACACCAAGCATCGCCAGCCAAGACCTCCACCCCCACCAGCCAGCCCACGGGGCTCGACGGGCCGCCTGGAACTTGACCAGGAGGGGGCGCTGAACGGCCAGAGGAGGGAGGAATAAGAAAGAGAGCGAGAGAGAGGGAAGGGAGGAGCGAAGCCGCGCAAGGGCCGCCCCGGTTCGATAAAAAAGATGGCGCGGAGACGCAGGCCGCCACGCGCCGGCGCGCTGACGGAGCTGCCGCCGCTCAGGATCCTGTCGCAGATGGCGATCCTGCAGGCCGTCTACTACGTCGCGGCGCTGGTGCTCATGCTCTTCACCGCCCTCGTCTACGGCCGCGCCTTCTCCCTCGACCTCCTCTTCGGCTGGGAGTCGGTGCGCGGCGACACCACGCAGGGCTGGCTGACGGCCTTTGTGTGGATGCTCGATGGCGGGCTGGTTGTGTGAGTGTTCTTCTTTTTTCGTCCTCTCTCACATCATAGCGACCGACCCCCTTTTCCCCTCTTGCACCCTGTTGGTCGGGGATACCTCCTTGCCGCGCTATGCAGATCACCATTTGCTGACCTGAACCTGCCTGCGTCTACCAGCTCCCTCGTCCTCGTCCTCGTCGTCGTCCGCTCCAAGCTCGTGCCCGACTTCGCCATATCGCTGCATGTGGTGCACCTGGTGGTCACCTGGCTGTACACGGGCCGCATGCCGCGCCACCTCTTCTGGTGGCTGACCATGGCCGCCTCGAGCGCCTGCGCCGTCGGCCTCGGCATCTGGGGCTGCCGGTACCGCGAGCTGATGCCCATCAGCTTCGGCGGCATCGGCGGCGGCGGCGCGTCGTCGTCCTCCGCCGCCGCCGGCAGGTCTGGGGGCGGGCAGGGAGGCGGTGGTGGCGGTGATGCTGGCGACGAAGAACAGGGCTTCTCGAGAGGCCGCGGCCGCGGCAGAGGCAGGGACGGCGGAGGAGAGTACGAGATGATGAACATGAATGGAGGCAACGGAGCGAAATAGACGTTTGGGGCTGCTTTGTGTATACTTGTAGCCCCGTGTGTAATATGAAAGGGGCGGCTGGCATTTTTTTATTTTCTCCCGGCTACTTGTGCCGTTCTCACACCATGGTTCGGCGTTGATGGCTACCGCGCAGGGTCCGAGTGTCGAACCCGCCCAATAGAATATTCTTTCTACGAGGTCTCTGCTGCTCGAACAGTGTGCATCATCCCTCAAGAGCCCCTAGCGTGAACCATTCCTACTGGCCTGTGCTGATATCCGACTTCTGCCCCCTGGTCCTGCTCCTTGTCCTTCTCAAACCCGCGCTCTGGCAAGCTGGACCTTCCGTTGCTGCTGCTGGTGCATCACCTGGCCGACGAGTGTGCTAGTTAGTCAGTTAAAATCGGCTCACCGTCTCGACCAAGCCCGCCACCAGGTACCTGACGACGTGGACCTGTCTGCTCTGTCCGATCCGGACGGCCCTCCCGATCGCCTGCCTCTCCACGCTCGGGTTCCACTGCGGCTCGAGGATGAAGATCCGGCTCGCCGCCGTGAGGTTTAAGCTATGATTCACGCCGGGCCGTGGCCGTTGGTCAGCTCGGATCCCTTCCGCCCTGGGCTGTCGATATATCTCGCTAGGAGCGTTGGTGTGACGAGAAGCCGTAGCGTTCTTGAAAACTCACCCGAATGCCCCAACCCCCCGTGCTCATTATCAACACCCGCATGTCCCCGTCCTTTGTGAACCTCTCCATGTTGTCTTGCCTCTGCCTGAGGCTGTAGTCGCCGTCGATCCGCTGGTATAGAATGTGTCTCTGCTTTAGCCGCGCCGCGATGAGGTCCAAAGAGCGCGTCCAGCAGGAGAAGGCGATGCTTTTGGCGCGGGTTTGCCTAGTGTTAGCCTTCTTTTTGCTATCCCTCGGGTCTCGACTGGTCACTGCCAGACTCACCTCTTCTCGTCCAACCCTGCGCGTTCAAGGTCCGTCATTAATGCGTCAATCTTGCTCGAGGTTCCATGCGTGTTGAAGTAGCCGTCCTGCCCGCCGAGCCCCTGCGCCATCATCTGCTGCGGCACCATCACATCGCTTCCAAAGTTGGGGTTCTCCGCCCAGGCGGCGGCCCCCTCTTCCCTGCACACCGAGCACGGCGGTGGTGACCCCGCGGCCGAGTGGGCGGCCGGCGACCCGTCCGGCGACAGGCACTGCTAGCAGTACCTGTGCTGGCACATCAAGCCGCCGCCGCCGCCGCCGCCGCCCCCTGGGGCGCTGCCACCAGCCCCAAAGGCGTCCAGCAGGGGGATCGGGGCGCCCCAGCCGGACTACACCCGTGAGTTTGTGCTTGTACCTCCTGAGCCAAGTTGCGGTTAATTACCAAGCTCACGTCCCGAAAGCGTTGCGGGGCATTTTTCTTACACCTCGGCGCCCCCAGGTTCGGGAATGATACGTTCCCACAGACTGTTTCCTTCTGAGGTCGGACCATTCTCCCTGACCAGCATGAAGCCCAAGGCTCGCTCTTGGTGACTGGTGGTTGGACTTTGTGAGCGAGTGTTTGAACGGGCATACTAAAGAAATAAGGGCAAAGCTGTCTCCAAGGTGATAGAGAAGCACTTACGGGAGCAACTGCGTCATGATCCCGGATCCTGCTTTGACACGCTCCAGATTCTTATCTCTTGTGAGCGATTCATAGGCCCCCGAGATTGCCCGCCGCTCGATTTCCTGCCCTTCAGAAGTATCGGCTTCCCTCGCACCATCGGCAGGATCTGACCCGTTTGCACGGTCCCGCGGAACATAATCCAAGCCCGGGAACTCGATGACGTGTGGATTGTGGCACTCGAGCCCATGGAGCCCGAAGCCGTCGTCCGGGTACTGCAGATATATCTCAGCGTCAGAGAGGGCCGACCCTACCTTTTCGGCGCAGGAACGTGGGCCATAAATATTGATGTCGACCTTGAGCACCGCTTCGGCTGGCCTCTTGGCCCGCTGGAGGACATTTCGGGCGTCGGCGCTCTTTGCGAATGCTCTAACGTCCAGATCGCCGTCAGGGCAGAGCTTATGGATAGCTCCAAGTCCTCGGGTCAGCAGCTCGGACACTTGGGCAAACTCGGTGTCGTCCGGGAACTTGAGCATAATATACTCCGAGTCTAGGCAAACATTGAACTGGTGCACCTCATCGGCAGAACCCAGTTTGGTCTCGAGAGCGCCCATGTTCCCGACAAGTCTCACGAAGCCGTCATGTATCTGCAGCCAAGGGGGCGTGTTGGGTCTCGTCAGCTTTCCAAATCGAAGGGACAGCACAAGCCCTACCAAGAGATAGACAGTAACATACAGCTCCGAAGCAGTAGTAGTCGCCGGCCTTTCCTTCCATGGCCTTCTCGAACCCTTCCTGGATGGCGAGAGTCTCCCCGTCGAACCACTCGTTCATGCGTTCCTGCGAGTCGTTACAGGCGCTTGCCTCGGGGTTGGCTCACTCGAACCCGCCGAACAGGTCGTAGGCGTCCCACTCTTGCGGCGAGCTGCCATCACCTGTGTCCATCACGGCGCCCCAGTAGTCTCGAGGTCGGTCTCCATGACGGCCCAGAAGGGTGGATATGCATGATAGGCGTCTCGTCGACTTGTTGGACAGCAGGGGTTTGGTGAACTCAATTTGGCTCATGGTTACTGCAAATTAACGCCAACGGGGCCCATAGAGAAGCAGGATAGGACACGAGACTGGCAAGGCTGCGACGAGGAATTGTGCGCCTGCCCAGGCGGTGCGTTCAACCCGGACTGGGGTGCACTACGGGCGGCTTCAGTAGCTTGGAATTCCGCCTTGGCGTATGGCTAAGCCAGGGTCAGGGACTATGCAAAAGCGCCAGATTGCGCTGAACGCCCGCTTGTTAGCGGCCGATGTAGTGTCGGGCAGCAGATTGGAGGCTGAGGGGGGTTGCCTGCACGCCTCATTCTGCGTGCTCCATAAATTTATGCAATGCAGGTCGCCTGAGATGTCCAATGGGTCGCCAGATTGGGGCGCAACAGAATGCCGGCAGTCAACAAGGAAAATGTTCCCGCCCCCAGCCAGCACCATCATCAATATAATTGCGCCATTCGAATCTTCCTTCAACCTCTGCTCCGTATCCTGCTTGTCAACCCTACCTATGCTTCCACGCTCCAGCGACGCGCTGCAACTCCAACGTTCTTCCCGTCACTACCACTTGCACATTTGACCCCTAGCAAACCACGCTTCAATCGAGAATGGCAGCGCCCGCAAACTCGCAGCCCTCCACTGGGTTTCAAAAGGCCTTGGATTCATTCATCCAAGACCTGACTCCCACACAAAGGTCCTAGTTCAAGATGACAACGTCCGACGACTTGAAGAAATCCATATCTGATCTCCAATACACTCAGAATCAAAAGAGAGGAGACATGGTCGATATGCGGAAAGTTGAGCGGTTCATCAAGGCCATGGAACAGTTTGGCAAGGTCCTTGCAAACAGCTCCGAGTTTGTTGCCTTTGTCTGGGGACCAATAAAGCTCATTCTCCAGATAATTCCTACCCACGCCGCCGTGACAGCCTTGACGGCGGACAGGTTCATTAACAAGGATACAAACCCGGATTGCGGAAAGCTGGGTCGAGTCTCTCAATGCAATCCTCGACGCTTACAGAGCATCGCCGAGAATCTTCCAATTTTCCAAGAGTATGGGAATACGTTCGCTCAAAACACAGCGATGCAATCGGTACTGGAGAGGATGTGGTCCGTCATTTTCCAGTTCCACAAAGAGGCACTCAAGGTCCTTAGCAAGAACAGTGAGATTCTACAGCCCGTATCCTGATATTACATCTGTTTGTTTGACAGGACGACGACTAAATCATATGCCTTCGATTTGCCAGCCCTGAGGCACGTCTTCCGGTCCCTATGGGGTGACTTTCGTGGCCGCTTCAAGTCCATGCTCGATGAACTCAAGAGCCTAAAGGAGCTCGTTGAAAGTCATGCAAACCAATGGCACATCACCCAGTATCACAAAGACAGAGCTGTGATTCTCGAGGCCCTGGAAAGAACACAGCAGCAAGAGTCATACGCTGCCTTTGAGAGGGTGCGAAACTGGATATCTGGAATAAGTCAAGACGGACAGTTCGAAAGACATCAGCGTGTTTTAGAGAGTGTCCAAAGCAAGACTCACAAGCGGGGTGGACAATGGATCTTGGGTCACGAAAAGATGAAGAGTTGGCTAGGTCAAGGTCTCAGATCCTCTGTACTCTGGGTCAATGGTATTCCTGGAGCAGGTAAGCACCTGAACCTGCCCCACACTCCTTTATTCTGAGCAAGCACTACAAACCGGACACTGACAGTCTCTAGGAAAATCCGTGCTTGCATCTGTGGTGGTTGGAAAGCTTAAAGAAATCAGAAAGGACGAAGAGGAAAACAAGCAGGACCTTAGCTCGCATGCATTCTTCTTCTGCGAATACAGAGACGCTCACCGAAACCACGCGTTAGCGATCCTCTCAGCTCTTCTCTCTCAGATCCTCACGATGGAAAGGGATCTTATTCCATACGTCGACCACAAGCGCGACCAAAAAGGAGATACGAAGCTTGAATCGCTGGACCTCTGCAAAGAGCTACTTAGGGTCGTCGTGAAAGACGGGCCAACAAAGTACTTCGTGGTGGACGGGATCGACGATTGCGAGGAGCCGGACCGGAGAAAGTTTTTTGATTTTATTCTTGAACTCATCCGTCAATGCGACTAACAAAACTCGGGCAGCTTCAAACTAGTGATATTTAGCAGAGAGGAGCTAGACATCAAGAAGCGCCTTGCGGGCCCGAACACCATCCATATCACACCGGAGGATGTGGGCCAAGACATCGAGAATTTTGTAGAGTTCCACAGTCGCTGCCTCCAAGAGGAGTTTCCAGAGCGCGGCTTGACCGAGGATAGGCGCGTGGCTATCCAAAAGCAGGTGATGAACCGGGCAAACGGTAAGCTGAAATAAACTATTCTTAGCCGTCATGGAGCCGTCACTACCAAGGCTGCAAGCTAACACACAGCCCGGTTCGAACAGGGATGTTCTTTTTGCACGCCTCATAATGGAGAATCTCAAGGCGCAGAAGACCTTGGACGGCCTCAACAAGGAGCTGGATCCGAAGACATTTCCAAAGAACTTGGATTCTGCGTACGTTTTCATTACTCGGCTCACGTAGCTATATTCTCCAGTAGCCGTGTCCCAATCCTGGGATGCCAGTTATTACTGACCATCGTTGTAATGCAGTTATGAACGAACTTTCAAGCGAATTATGGACAAGGCCACCCCTAACGAAAAAGACGTGATTCTAACTATACTTAAGCTTATGACATGTTGCTGGCGCCCACTCAAATGGCATGAAATCCAGGCTGCTATTTCGATAGTGCTCAACGAGGAGGAAAAGATGGATCCACGCCGCTGCTGGACAGGACAGGCCCAGGACCTCTTCGGGTCACTTGTGCTGTCGGAACCCGCGGAAGGGGGGAGAGTGGGATTTGTCCACAAGACGGTGGAGGAGTGAGTTTGAGCCCAGATCCAAAATGGTGGAAACGAGCTTTGGTGTGCTAACTATCTTGTGATGACTTGGAATACAGTTTCATGGCCCGATCGTCCAAGGTCACCAACATGACAGCTATCTCGGCAGAGCATCGCGTGACGCTACTCTGTCTGCAATACCTAACGTGGGCTTGCTTTGACAGGGAACTCAACCCAGTTCCAGAAAATCCCGAGCGGCAGTTCGCATTCCAAGATTACGCTTCCGCCCACTGGGTCGACCATGTAGGGCACCTCGTCAGGGCTGCGCACCACAGGCTGTCCACCCCCAAAGACACGGGGTTCTCGGGCGAATACACCCGGGGCATGGGGCCCACGGGCAAAGACGTCAAGGAGATGGAGCAAGCCGCAGAGAGCTTCATCCTTCGGTTCTACGACAAATTGAAGGATAAAGAGAGGTCTGAGTGCGAGTACATGCAAGCTGCGGCATCCCTGGGCCTCTCTGAGCAAGTATTTGAAGTCATATGGAGAGGGGTGAATTGGGTCCAGACACGGAAAGGGGACGAGGTGGATGACATATTCCCGCCGACACTGCAGGCCGCCGTGCTCGCAAACCGAAAGATTCTCGAATCAATGGCCGACCAAGTCAGATGCTCGCCAGCGCTGCTCGCGTACTACGGCGGCAGCCTCTTCAAGTGCTCGAGACGGACATGCTACCACTTCCACGAGGGGTTCTACTCCGAGCTGAGGCGGAGGTACCACCGCGACAGGCATAAGACGTGCTACGTCTGCCCCGAGAGCAGCTGCCCGCGCAGCCATGCCGGTTTCCGCAACGAAAAGGAGATCGCCAAGCACATCAAGCAGATGCACCCGGCCGCCGTCACGCTCTCCTGAGACTTCCCCTTGATCAAGAAGACGCCCGCCCGGACCCTGGGCGGGTGCAACGCCCGGTTCTCGAGGCCGCTGGACCTGAGGGCGCATATTAGACTGCATGCGCTGAACTTGTAGGATCTGCCCATCAGGTCTGTGGAGGGCGGGTCGGAAGGGGCATCGGGAGGTACGATGAGGGGCATTATCTCGGATCCGATGGTGATTGATCAAGAGAAGGAAGGCTCGGGCTGTTTCTAGTGGCATTAGGGGACACGATGACACGCCTTTGCCCTAAAAGGAAAGGCCAATTGGCGGGTAGCGAGCAGCAGACCGTATTGATATGCTCGCGGGGCCATCTATCGTACGCAGGCGTTAAGGATGCCGTTGCTACATTCAAGGGGTTGATTCGAGTGTTCATGTGCCGTCATCTTTCCCCTCCATCATGAATACGTCGCGCACGACAGCAGACAAGGCCTAGCCACTGGGGCTTTCGGTCTAAACGTACCAACCAGAATCTGTCCATCAGCGATAACATGGGCAGGCTTTGACGGAGAAGTGTGTGAGGTGGGTCATATTACAGCCCCACAACGCTAGTATTTAGTCCTGGGATCGTTGGCTTTTCAATCCGACAGTTTGCACCTCCGACAGGAAGACAAAGACTATCAATCGCGATGACGGAATTCCGAGCGGGATTGGGTAGCGCGGGCGCTGGTGAAGCAACGTATATCCTAAACCCCGCCGCCTGGGCCTGCAGCGTCGCTACTTCCGGAAATATGAGTTAACGCCGGACCGGGCGCGAAGTGGAACAACCTCGCGCAGCTACAATGGTCACCATAATCTGTCGATCCGACGGTATTCGGATGGTCTGGGCAGGGTGCTAGGCAGCGGATGTAATCACAGCTCCGACTCGTTGCCAATGCATTGCAAGCACATCGTGTTCAACACCGGTCGGGTGCAACGCGCATACCGAAGTCCGTCGACAAGGGAAAGTACAATAATATAAAGTAGCGGGTGTTGGAATCAACAGATTCTGGCAATATTACCGGACTCACCAGCAGCCGCCCAAGAACACGCCGACAACCATGCCCCAATACGCCCAGGACCAGCCCGCGGGCTACAACAACTACGTCTCCAACGTCGTCATCGTCGGCGTGAGTGCCATCCATATCTTTGCTGTGCTGATGGCACCTATACAGGGCAATAACTGCAGCTCAAGTACTGACCCCAACCGCCTTGACACCAGGCAGGAGGCCAAGTGGGCAGCCACATCGCTTCAGCCCTAGCAGACACCGGAAAGCACACCGTAACGGCCCTGACCCGCGAGGGGAGTGCTAGCAAGCTTCCCGCCGGGGTCAAGACGGCGCGCGTTCCGTCGTACGACGACGAGGTAGCCGTCGCCGAGGCCCTAAAGGCCGCAGGCGCCCAGGTGCTCGTCATCACGCTGTCCGTGATGGCCAGCCCGGAGACGCAGCCGCACCTCATCCGGGCGGCCGTCGCCGCGGGCGTGCGCTTCATCATCCCGAACTCGTGGGGGATCAAGATGTCGGACAAGAAGCTGGCCGAGGAGACCTTGCTCGGGAACAAGGACGTCGTGGCGCAGGAGACTGTCGCGCAGGCCGGCGGCGTCAGCCAGCTCGTCTTCATCGCGTGCGGGTTCTGGTACGAGTTCAGCCTCGCCGGCGGGCGCGACAGGTTCGGGTTCGACTTTGCGGACCGGGTCTTTTTGGTGCTCGACGGCGGCGACACCAAAATGCACGTGTCGACCTGGACGCAGACGGGCCGCGCCGTCGCCGCGGCCCTGAGCCTGCCCGTGCTGCCGCGCTCGCCCGGGTCGGGCGAGCCGATGACGCTCTCCGGGGCGGCGTCGTCGCCCCAGGCCGTGCTCCACGTCAAGAGCTTCCTGCTCTCGCAGAAGGACATGTTCGAGAGCGTCAAGCGGGTGACGGGCACCACCGACGCCGACTGGACCGTGCTCCAGAAGACGTCCAAGGAGCAGTACGAGGAGGGGCGTGATGCCTTCCTCAAGGGGGACGGGATGGCGTACCCCAAGCTCTTGTACGGGCGCGGGTGGTTCCCCGGAGCCTGCAGGTTTGACAGTGTGGACAACGAGGCGTTGGGTCTGCCCGAGGAGGATCTGGATGAGGCTACAAAGGAGGCGGTGCGCATGGCGATAAACAATGAGGTTCCCTATTGAGAAGGCTGGAAGGCCACTAAACAAAGACCTCGTACAACTCCATCCACAAACACTCCGGAATTACATAACCCTCACCAAGTGTTTTAGACTTGATTCAGTTCTATGAGCACTTTTTAGGGGCAAAAGGTTCAGTGCCATTTCATGAGCCTTCCAATTCGCCTGTAGGTTAGCGGCAAATGGCTCCTCAATGTGCTTTATACGAGTTGCAACTGTTTCCGGAAAGGGTTTTCTGGTATTGAATCGCGAGACAGGCAACAACAGACTGCGTCCAGTCCGTACCTATAACCCACAAGATCTATCGGGATACACTGATAAAGAGTGAAACCAGTGTGCAAGCCAACCAGCCTTGCGTCATGATCGAGGCTTCCATGCCAAGTACAAGACCATCAACGCCCATACACAATAGTGTGCCCTTCATCCACAGCAAGTCAACGCCCCAAAGCAATGCCGAGTTACTGGCAGCACTAGATGATTGAAAATGTTAGTATTCACGCTTCACCGAAATTTTCACGGCCCCAAGGCTGCTACCGAAGCTGCCAGAACTTACGTCGAACTGCGACCCAACAAGTTAGCACAAAGTCTCCATATTTCAAGTATCAACATTTGCAGTGAAGAGAACATACAGTGCACGACTCCTTGGAAGAGCAGCGGCACTTCTTGCAGTCGACACCGCGAGAGTCAAGAAGAACGCCGTTGTCAGCGGGGGCGACGTTGGGGGCGGCCATGGCGATGGTGGCCAGGAGGGACAGGAAGGCGATGGAGAACTTCATGTTGGCGGTTGAAGGTTTGGTTGGAAGATGCCCGAGAAGATGTTGACTGTATAGGATGGCTTTGCTTGGTATCCTGAGTGTGGGATGGTTTCTCTTCTTCCTCGTTCTTGGGGGCCCGTCGTTCCCTTTTATACACAAATGTAGCAGTCGCGGGGCTCTCGAGTGTTGATTGATGGTCGTAAAGATTTTCACCATGTCTCCACGGTCACAGCCCCCTCTAGCGTTCACAATACTGGCATGGGTTGAGGGGTACTCCGACTCCTACTACCGGACGCCTCCTGCACGGCCCTTTCGACGCAGGCCGCATCCTCCAGGAAAACAAGCAATGCCTTATCGCGGCAAAGCCAGAGGCCCAGTAGTCGTCGGCTCTCGGTGCTGAACTGTCGCCCTGCATGGAGAGCGGCGATAGGAAGGAGCATGTCAGCTGATGGTGGTATTTGATTTTAACGAGCGGTCATTCCCAATTGGCAGCCCGTCCCAGCCGTCAGCATCCCACGCGGCTTTAACCCCACAGCCAGGCGTGTGACGGGAACACGGCCACTGAACTACTTTTAGGCTGTGGCACTCCTATTTTCCGGCCCCCGCGAGCTTATTCATTACCAGCTGGTCCGTCTGACGCCATGAGATCAGCACCAATATCACGCGCCACTTGGTGACGCTGATCGTTCATGAGGATTCCCGCAGGAACGCAAGCCGGTGTTTCTAGCAGTGGTGGATTTGGGGAATCTTTTGGCGAGCAGATAGAGGTGATATTTTTATATCAGGCATCCTGTTAATGCTGCGGATAAACTCCGAATTTGAGGCGGGCGGTTGGTGCACTCTTCTCACATATGACCATAATGCCTCTGCGGCTATGCAGTCAAGGCCAGAGAAGAGGATTGGGTACGCGACCAGGCACGGTACGTAATGGGGAATCTTGCAGTGCCAAAATTATAATCCTATAAAGTGATATACACGGTCATCACCACGCATGTTGCAGTGTGGAGAACTGGGTCAGTTTAAAATCAGGGATTCCCTAAAGTATACCGCGCGGAAGTTGCTGCGCCCAGCCATGTCCCACTCGTGGAGAAAGTAATAATATCTCGCTCCTTAATTTCTGTGGAAAATGATAGGTGGGAGAAGGGAAGAAGTCAAGTCGTGCCCCATGGGTGCCAAGGTGCTACAAATTATGATCAACAGCGCGAGAGATGTCGATTCGTATAGCAGATCCTGTATCAGAACATTGCGCGCTCCGCCACTTGTGCCCCGAATTCCGACCCCCAAACACCGATATGTAGTCCGGTTATTGGATACCTGAAAGGGGCTTATGTTGCCGTGCCGTCGTCATCCAGATCCTATCACAAAGGAGGCAATCACCAAGGGCCGGCACACTGTTCCAGGCCTTGGCACGGAAAATCTGCACGGGCATCGGTGCGGAGCACCGATGTTGCACCGGGCAGATGCTTGCCGAGCACTCGTCGGCAATGACAGGGGTGCGGTAGTGGGTATCGCACCTGCAAGAAAGGAGATCACTGTATATAAGGAGGACACAAGGTTCTCAGCCTTGTGCCCGTCTTCCCTTCTCTTCAGAGATCTAGATAAGCATACAATAGACCCTATTTTGCACTTTTTGTCCGTCATCGATCCTTTATAAACGTTTCCGCCGCCTCGTGAAAATCCCATAGGATGTGCAGTCCGTGTTTTGGAATAATTTTGTTGAGTGTACGCGTGGGCAATAGGAAATTCTGGGTTTGCTTGCGTTATTCTTCTTTCATTCTTCGTTTGCATGGTGTCTTCCTCTTTCCTTGCTTTTGGGGCTTTTAGCTTCCTTATCGGTAACGCTTGTTAGTTTTTCTTTTTTTGGGGCAAGTACGACAGAAGCAAGAGTTGTGTGAGGAGGTTGGAGGACACGCCCAAGGCTAGCCTGATACATAAAGCCGGCGAAAACCCCCAAATGGGACCCCGTTAGGGTTTTGGGTCCGGCTTGGACCCATTACCCAAATGGACCCAAACCCAAAAACCCATTACCCAAATGGGTCCCCGGCCCAAACGGGTCGTTTGGGTTTCCACCAGCCTTACTGATACATGCGTTACAGGCAGTACCTTCTAGACGGCGCTGGGTACACTTTGTTTTGGTTGCATGTGAAAACGACGATGGAGCGAAGAACTAAGGAGGTGGGTTGGGGCATGATGGTTTAGGTGCTGTAAACCGTGCCGTGCCCGACGCTGAGAATGCTTGGCATGCATGTCTAGTCAGTAGCCTAGTCCCAATTATCAGTAGCAGTATGCGGACTGCGATCGTCTCCCAAAGTCCAGACTTCACCTAGCCCGACCATTCCTTCGCTGGACTCTTCAATCTGACGTCATATTTGACTAGCTGCTTTCCCCAGCGTGCGGGGTCCTTTTAGATTCACGATTCTTGAACGCTCGCTTGGCGGTATTAATTGTAGCTCATACGGCTGGCCGTATGGGTGTCGGTTCCCTAGTTTTCTCTTGTAGATGGAGTGCTGCGCAAAGGAAAAAGGGATAAAGATACACACTAGACAGCAACAGATACCTGCCCAAGCCACAATGGCATCGATAGAGACAGTCCTCACCGTCATCTCGGTGATCAAAACGGCAATCGAACTCTACGAGGACCTCGAGAGCGGCAAGAAGGAGGCAGAGGACACCGAGTACAACCTCAGCTCGTGTCTCGTGGGGTTCGAATCCATCAGCGAGACCCTCCAGCTGAACCGGGAGCGCAACAACGACCTGGGGAATGCCGGGAAGCAGCTTGATGAGCACCTGAAGAAGGTCCACGGGCATTGCGAGCTCGTGGTGGTGATGCTGTCGAGCGTGCGGAACCGCACGTCGCCGGATCCCTCCAAGTTCCGATACCGCTACCTCAAACTTCACGAGCTCAACTGGATGGTGTGGAACTGGGGCCCCGCGGGCCGAGCACAGCTCCAGGCCGAGGTGGCCGAGATTCAAAAGCAGCAGGCCGCCATCAACGGTCTCCTGCAGATCATCGGCTTCCAGCGCGGCGAGACCGCCGCCAATGACCAGAAGAAGATCCTCGACGTGCTGGAGGAGGTCAGGCGCAAGGTGAGCGAGAATAAACTGGCCGCCGCTGCCGCTGCCACCGCCGCCACCCCCGCGCAGCCGGCGTCGGCTGGCGGTGGCGGCTACGCGAGGCAGGTCGCCCTCCCGCCGCGGGCCCTCGACGCGCCGCGCCCGCGCAAGGACAACTGCAGCGTGCTCTTCGTGGACCTCTGGGACGAGGGCCGCAGCGTCATCTCGCAGGGCATCACGGAGCTGCTGGCGCACTGGACGCGGGCGGGCGGCAAGCCGTTCCCCGTTGCCGAGTGGGGGTCGGCCGGCTTCTTCGTGCGCGCCGGGGGGGACTGCGTGGGCGAGATCCGGTCCATGCGCTACCTGACCAAGAAGTTCAGCTTCGAGTTCCGCGACGGGCGCGAGCGCACCGACGCGGTCGCGTGCGACGCCCTGTTCGACAACAAGGCCTTTGGGCGCATCCCGGCGGCGACAAGGGCCGCGGCCGAGGCCAGGGTGCGGGCCTACACGTCGCGCGGCATGCGCCGGGAGTTTTGGGACCGGTACGACTACGTCTGCTGCTTCACGTACCGCGAGTACGACAACCTGATGCGCCTCAAGCGCGCGCTCGCCGAGCAGGACGGGCGCGAGGACGAGGGCCCCGGCGCCAGCGGGCCCGACCGCAAGGGCATGATCGTGCACCTCGGCGCCTACGTCACAAGGCCCACGGCGCCGCCCAAGGAGATCGTCAAGGCGCTGGACGCTAGCGACCCGGTCGAGAGGAGGGGGATCTGGAACGCCAAAGTCGCCGAGCTCAAGCGCGCGGTTCGGGGTTTCTTGGCCGAGGAGCTGGGCTGGGAGCCGCTCGACCCCCCCAAGTAACCTGGTGCATAAGGAGGGCCTGGGAGAAGGCGGATCGGTATTTCTTACCAGGCGCTAAAATGGTTGGAGTTTGAGCACGATACTCTCCTGCATCATGTGAAAATGTGATGATCTGGGCCTTTCCAAAAGCGCCTCGTGTTGCGGCGTTGCAACGGCCGAGATATTGGTGGCGTACGGCCATCTACCACTCATATAAAAGCACAACGTTTGTCGGCGCTTCTGGATGCGGTGTGGGTGATTGCCTTGCATGATCCTTCGATCCGTCTATACAGCTGCTCAGGTATAGTCGGTGACACAGACTTGCAGGCGAACTGGATATCCGGCCATAAAAGAGGTGAGGCGGACACAAGCAGCCAATGATTGGGGCATAATGTCGGCTGCATCAGTACATCCGCGGGGGCTAGTTTCAGCAGCTGAAATGTATCACACCTTCAGCTTCGATGGCCGTGTTTTTGAGGCGGTTATGCTGTGGCGACGGTAAGGCTGTAGCCTTGGCATCAGTAGGGCTCGACATCACAGCTCGAATTCCCTTTGGTGCCGGTTTCGTGTAAGAGGTTAGATATCCAGACCTCCCTGGGGTGTTCTATTGAACCCATGCTATCTATGTGGGTAGCTCCTGGCCCTCCAACAGACATCAGAGTCTCGTTGACTTACATCAACGACAAGTGTGTCAACCTCGACCACAAAGCCGCTGCGCCAAGATGCATCTTGCATACTCGCTTGTCCCCCTAGCGCTTGCCCTCCACAGCGTCTGCTGCGCAGCGGCCGACAAGCCGGAGCCCAAGATACCCGCCGACAAGAGCGTCAACGCGGCCGCCGCGCCGGCCGTGGGCGCCCTGGGCCAGCCCCTCAGCGACCTAGTCCCCGACATCGTGCGCGACATCGTGTCGCTATTCAACGAGAAGGAGGTGCAGTGCGCAAGTTCGTCGAGCGCCTCACGGCCGAGGTGGCCCTCCGGTACCGCGACCTCAACATCCTCGTGTACGCCACCAGCCCGAGGTCGGACGACGCCGGCCTCGCCGGCAGCGTCTGCTACTCCATCGACAAGCCGCTCGCCTTCTGGCGCAACAAGGAGTACCGCGTCTGCGTCTTGGAGACGGGCAGGTTCGTGTTCGCCGGCGAGGACAAGTGCGAGAACCGGGGCTACAGGGGATGCACCACGCAGGCCGGCGGCAAGACGGTCGCTTTTTGCCGCCGCGTCCCGGGGGCGCCCGGGGAGGAGTCGTCGTCGACGGCCACCACCACCACGAGCAGGCCGAGCACGACGAAGCGTTCCACGACCAGCACCAAGACCTCGACCGGAAAGCCGTCTACCACGAGCTCCAGGTCCAAGGGCACGACAGCCTCCGCCGAGCCCACCGGCGGCGACCCCAGGGCGGGTGCCACGAGTACCGCTCCGCCTCCGCCTCCTCCCGTTGCGCCCCCCACGTCGGCGGGCGGAAACGCAAACACGGGCGCTGCTACCACGGGTGGGCAGCCTCCTGCGGGCTCGACGGTTGGACCTGCCATGATCGGAGTGCTTGCTGCTGTGATGGTGGCTTTTGTGGCCGGAGCCTTACAAGGGGAAAAATCTGCCATGTAGTTTTCTGTTGATGTGGATTGTCAGGCTTCCCTGGCTTTACAGTTGAGGAGTTTTCCATGCGGCGGCTGGAAAATGAGGAGGCATCTGCGATTCGGTGAGTTACTCACTCCCATCTCGTTTGATTCTTCATATGTCTCAATGGAAATGTCAGTACGAAATCGCTGTGAAATAAAGCCATGACACGGCGCCATTACCATTATGAACCAATGAGGAATACCGGTAAAAACCCATGCCACTCTCTAGTAAATCCTAAAATGAGTGGTTATCCTCTCTCGCTCGGCTGGCATCCACCTGGTGACGGCCTCGCCCTCCATCTTCCCAAATATGAAGGCCTCCCCGACAAACTCGTACCTGTTAGGCCCCTGCTCCCTCAGAATCACTGGGACGCTGCAGCCGAACAGGATCACCACCAGGTCCCCCACCCTCGTCTCGGGCGGCCCGATCCCGTACACCGTCTCGCCCCTCCCCTCGGCCTCGAGCACGACGCGGTTCCACGTCACGGCCTGCACGCGGCGCAGGTAGCTCTGCACCAACAAATCGCGCGCCGAAGACGGCGAGTGCGCGGCGGCCGGCGCGATTGGCGACCGGAGCCCCGCGTTGTTGTGGCCGCCGCCGCCGCCGCCGCCGCCGCCGCCACCATAGTGGTGGTTGTTGTTTGCGACCACGATGCCCTGCTGCAGCAGCTCCTTGGTGTTTATGTGGCCGTTGGGGGTGTCGTTGACGAGGCAGCGCAGGCACGCGCGCCGCAGCAGCGTCGTCGGCTTGCGGCCCTCGGACGTGCGGTCCGCGATGAGCGTGCGCCACACCCGGTCGATCGGCCCGTCCTCGGCCTCGCCACCGGAGCTGGTGCCACTGCCACTGCCGCTGCCGCTGCCGCTGTCCGTCGCCTTCCAGCCGAGCCGTCGCAGCGCCTGCGACGGGATGACGCCGTCGGCGATGGGGTCGGTGCGCCACACCACCTTGGCCAGCTGGATGCCCGCCGCCTGCAGCCACGTCATGTCGCCGGGGCCGGGGCTCGGGCTCGGGTCGTCGAGCGGGGCGGCCCGCGGGGAGGGGCCGCCGTTCTGCTGCTGCTGGTGATCAGGCTCGCCGGGCCCCTCGTGGCCGCCGCCGTCCTCCGGGTCGAAGCCGAACTTGACGTCGGGCCTCAGGCCGTGCGACGCGGCGTAGCAGCCCTCGCCGGGCAGCCCGACGAGACTGTCGCCGTTCTGGCGGCCCCTGAAGACGTCGGTCTGGCGGCCGTACGACGACTCGGGCACGGTGCGGATCCAGGTGGGCAGCCTGCAGTGGCGGTCCGGGTAGCCCTCGACGCCGGGCCGGTTCGTGATCTCGGGCAGGGCCCACTGGCGGCACACGATGTCGAGCGAGCCGGACCGGCGCACGACCCAGCGCACAAAGTAGGCGTATATGTGGAACAGGTCCTGCGTGTAGTTTGGGCTCGGCGGCGGGTTGCTGTTGCCCACAGCCATGCCCATGCCCAGGCTGGGCGGCGGGTTGGCCGGGTCCGGCGCCACGCGCGGGCCGACGTGGGCCCTGCACGTTTCGCGGGCCAGGTTGAGGAGCGTGAAGATGGTATCGCGCGGGTCCGACGTCTCAAAGGTCGAGAGCACGCACACGAGCGTCTCGAGCCCGCGCTGCGGCTCGTACAGCCTCCCGCGGTCGTCGCGGTGGAACATGTTTGCGAGCTCGTCCACGAGTATCTTTGCGCCTAGCGGTGAGATGTCGTCGATACCCGCGGCCTCGCCGCGGTGCTGCGCGTCGGCGGCGAGCAGGTCGCGCACCTGCTGGAAGTTCATGGAAAACAACCCGATGGCGTCCGAGAGGTCCATCCAGTGTACCATCTGCGACCCGCACTGCACCACGGCGTCGCGCGCCAGCGCGATCTCCTGAATCACCCACCGGCGCGAGAACCACCTGGATCGCATCAGGTACAGCAGGCCGGCCCAGTCGGCCACGTGCTTGCTCTGGAGCAGCCGGTCCTGGATGTTGTGCTCGAGCAGGATGGTGGGGATGAAGCGCATGGCCCGGTCCGTCCGCCCGTCCCCGTCGGCGACGCCGAGCCACACCAACACGTGGTCGGCCCTCGAGTAGATCTCCCACATTCGCGCGACCTGTCGTTGCTTCTCGGCGTCGCTCATCTGGTTGATGCACAGCGCGTCAATCCAAAACACCCGCTCCTCATTCTTGTCCCGCAGCTGCCGCAGCGCGTAGTACAGGGACGGCTTGACGTGCAGCCGCCTCCGGCCCAGCTGCAGGCTGTTGAGCTCTCGCATGTTCTGCTCCGTGAGCGTCTTGCCCTCGGTGAATTTCTGTAGGAGGTAGACGTAGTCGCCAAAAGACCGGCCGTTCGGGATTCGGTGTGGCACCTCCTCTTCGACGTAGATGGGATACTCGGCCTGGCCATCGCCCCAGTTGTACGAGAGGGCAATGACCTTGTTGGGGCTGTCAGGAGCCCCCAGCAGTGCCAGGTTGACATGCCTGAGCTGCACCTCGATGTCTGCTTCTGGGTCCTGGTTCGGTTTCAGGACAGCCAAGCGGATCTGGTCGTCCTCCAGCTGCTTATACTCGTATCGGATCTCTTGGTAGATGGCTGCCGAACTTGTAAATTTGTTGCGAACCGTATTTCGATCGAATCCCGGGGGCCTAACGACCGCTTCTTCTCGCAGCCCTATCCGTGGCCGCTTTTCTGGTGTTGGCCGGACCGAGTCGAGCATCCCCTGCCGCTTTATAGGCTTGCTGGGCGGGAGAGCCGACGGCAACATCAAGGTGTCGCAAACCAGCCGACTTGACATGGCCGGTGGCCGCGCCAGGGGCTCGGGGCGCACCTGTGTCGCGTTCATCGAGATTCCGTGTAAATGCAGACAAAATAATAGCTATAGTACTCTGCAAAATTTGCAAATATCTGCGCAACAATTTCTGTGCGGCCAGAAAGGGACATGTCGAGTTTGTCGGATCTAGGTATTACCAGCATCACACCCATTCTTTCCGAGCCAAGCAGTCCAGACAGTTCCCTATGATTCTCACACCTGCGGTAGCGCGCATTGGCGGGCGGAGGCCGCCCGCCGCTGAAAGGAGTTTGGGGCGGGATTGCCTTGGAGTTCAGCTGGCCGAGTGCAAGAGGTCAGGCTGAGGATGAGATTTAGCTTCTGGCGCCCCGTTATCATGGTCCGCCACCTTGGGCAGTGACCTGCGCACCACGGGTAGGACTGGCATGACAAAACCGTGGCCTCTCCGAATCCCTAGGCCTCCGTCAGCTCACTGGCCACTCAGCGCCCGTGATTGTGCTCGCGCGGCTTCCCCGCCGAGCGTTTTGTGCGAGGGTGAGCCTACACGCTTCTGCAGGTCGCACTCCATCGAGTCCTGCTGCCTGGAAGGCCGCACTTGACGCCGTCTCGGCCGCCTCACCCGTCCCCATGGAACTGACTGCTTGCCCCATCCTCGTGCATTTGGAGTTTGGAGTTAGGATGGCCTCGCAGTCGAGTTTGAGCGGTGGCGGCACGGCCCGGTCATCTAGCTCTGTCACCATGGAGCAGTGGTCTGGAAGCGATACCCGAGTACAAGTGAGACGAAGGAATGGATCGTGCTGAGAAGGTCGATTATTGTTGGGCGAAGCACAGCGGGGTGGATGGTGGATGCAAGGCGAGCTACCGCCGATAAACCCTGCAAAATATGGGCGGAAGGAGCGAATCAGAGTCCAGAATACCAAGGCAGCGGCTGTAGCTGTGAGTTCTGCAAGAGGCAGCAGGCACCCACCTACGGCGGGAATAGGACCATGACAAGATCGCAAGCGGACGGGGCACATGATCCGAATAAAGTCAGGAGAGATACGGTATGCACAAACATATCCAATTCAAAGTAGCACCCAGAACAAAAGAGAGTGGATTTGGATGACATGTTACGTAGCAATGGTCTATATAACAATCGGCCAACCACCCTAGTTTACATGCTAGGTGGTGGTGCTTCGGCCCATCCAAGTCCGGATTAAATCAAGATTCTAGTACAACTGTTGGGGAAAACAAGCACAGGCCAGCAGAGCCCCGTTTACAGCATGACGAGAGCGCCCAGACCCACGGCGGCGACCGCGTACAGACCGACAGCGAGCTCGCGGACCGAGACGGCGCCCGACTTGTCACCGCCGGCCGAGGGGGCGGCGGTGGCGGTGCGGGCGTTCTCGGCGGCGGCGCTGGCGCTGGCCAGGGCTGCGGTGCAAGACGACGGGGTGCTGGGGCTCGAGGCGACCGCGGCCTTGCCCTTGAAGTCGCAGGCGCTGGCCGCGTTCTTCTGCGACTTGTAGTACGTGTCGAGCACGTGCGTGAGCTTGGCCTTGTCGTCACACATGGAGTAGGGGCCGTAGATGCCCGTGGTGGCGTTGCCGTTGATGCCGCCGCACGGGTTGCCCGGCTGCGCGCAGATGTAGCCAAAGATCTCGCCGAACGACTTGGACGACAGGCTCGACGACGGGGCGCAAGTGGCGGCCTTGACCATGCAGTCGCAGACCGACTGGTCGGGCGTGGGCGGCAGGTTGGCGTTGGCGCGCCACTTGTCGTGCGTCGCGGGGCACTCGGCCGCCTTGTTGGACGGGGTGTACGACGCCATGTCGATGGCCTTGGGCCTGGCGGCCGTGACGGCCTTCTTGAGCGCGTCGTAGTTCTTCATGGTCTTGGCCGCGCCGCTGCCGTCGACCTTGACGAGGCCGTAGTTGTTGTCCTCCTCGTAGTACATGTAGACGATGCCACCCGAGAAGACGCCCGTCATGGCATCCGAGTACAGGGCGGTGGCGTCGCTGAAGTCACGACCCTCGGCCTTGAGGGGACCCTCATTGCAGCCGTACTCGGCGAAGAAGACGGGGACAGAGTAGTTCTTGAAGAACTCGACCTGACCAGAGTAGCCAGAAGCCTCCATAGAGCTCGTGCCGCACCACGAGTAGATATTGTAGCCCCAGTAGTCGATGGAATCGGTCTGGTTGCCACAGTTGAAGTAGTTGGCGAGGTCGACACGGATGTCAGTGTCGTCGTTGGTGGCATAGCCGACACCCATCCAGCGACCGCCCTTGGACTTGATGTAGTTCTTGGAGTCGCGGGTGGCGGCCTTGACGTAGGCCGACGCACCCGTGTTGGTCTTGTTGTTGGTGACCTCGTTTCCGGAGAAGAAACCGATCACGTTGTCGTACTTGGCCAACTCGTCGATAACCTTCTTGTAACGGTCGAAAAGGGCGACGTTCCATTGCGGGTTGTCGCGTTCGATCGAGAGGGCCGGCTCGCCCAGATCGGCAACGACGTAGATGCCCGCATCGTCGAGCAGCTTCATGCACTGCGTGTGGTCGGCCGTAGGGTCGACGGCGTAGACACGGATGGTGTTGGTGCCGGCGGCGGCCAGGATGGGCACATCACGCTTGCAGATGGCGGCGTCGGACAGCGGGTCGATGTACGAGCTGGACGTCGCCTTGGCACCAGCAGCGCCAACGGCCTGCTGGTACGCAACACCCTTCATGTAGAACTGCGTGCCGTTCTCGTAGAAGAACTTGGCGCCCTATAGTGACCCAGACGCCCTTGTCAGTACAGCCGCACGGCAGAGACGTGCGTTGAGAAGGTAGTGTATGGTCTTACCTTCATGACGATGGGCTGCAGCGCGGCCGAGGCCTGACCCATCATGAGGCCAGCGGCCAGGAGAGAGCCTTTGGAGAGACCCATTTTGTTGGAATCTGGTTGCCGCAAAGCAAACTGGGAAATGTTGGAAACGGATGTGCTGTTGGTTATATCCCTGCTATCAAGTAACGATGCAGGCGTCGAGGCGCGTCACTGTTGTTTGCTGACGGCTGGAATGATGTCGGAAACTGGCTTTGGAATTCGCAGCTGGAGGCCAACGGCGTTTTTTGGTCCTGTATCCTGATTACCCGGGCTCGAAATTCAAAACCAGATGGATGCGCCAAGAGAGGCAGGGACGGACTGACAAGAGTCCAAAAGGGGAGCAAAGAAAGAGTATCCTAAAGAGTGTGAGAAGGGATTAAGAAATTACGGAAGCTGGAAAGCTCTCGGACCGGCAGAGAAAACAGAACTCGCAAGACAGGAGCTCTTTATTTCTCGCGAACAATGATGCAAGCAGGAGGAAGCGACAGGATCCAGCTCAGGTGAGATGGTGTTGGACTTCGTTTTTATTCCGCATGCCTCGCCACCTCCCGCCCCCTGGTCCCAGCATTAGTCCCGGCCGGCTAGGGTCCATTGAGCCATCAACCCAGGGGGCGGTGGGCCAGCGGCGCAATCTAGACCAGAACTGGAGCGACCGTCCAGGTCGAGCTACCTCAAAGGCCTGCGCAAAAGGCTGGGAAGAAGCGGTGATTCGCGCAGAACTGCCTCGTACCTGCGCCAGCGGCAGAGCGAATATGGATAGGCAGGGGTGGCAGGGGTGGCAGGGGTGGCAGGGGGTTTTGTGGAAACGGTCGCGTCTTCATCTCGCCAAGCACAGTGCTTGAGTGCGCCAACAACAGGCTTGTTTCTGGCCAAGGTGCTTGGCCACGAGCCTTGGGCTGCGGCACAGGAAAATCACAAGAGGACAAGACGCGCTCCCGGAAGCTTGGGATGCACAAGAGATCTTGAATTGCTTGGGGAACGCCATTCTTGGCCCCAGTCGCTTGTCCCGGTGAATATCACGGCAGCCAATTCCATCTGGTTTTAGTTGTCGTTTGGGGCTTGCTAACGGCCTCGAACACGACTTGACATCCCCTCCAAGGCCAACTGATGACCCTCACACTGTATCACATTGCATGCTCATGTCATCAATCCACAGCTACTTGAAGAGGCTGCCCTTGAATAGGGGTTCGGTTGTGGTGTGGACCGGTGGTTGGATTGAACCACGGCCCTGAATTGAGTCTGCCGCCCTTCCTCGCCCTTGGTCAGGGAGGCGGCATGTGTTGATACCGCCTCTTGCATGAGATGTACCTGGAATTCGGTCCGTCGAAACGGGGCAGCAGATGGCTCACACTCATCACCGAGGAAATCTCGATGGACTCTGCCGTCGCAGCGGGCCGGATTGGTTTCCCTTGACCTCGGTCCACGGCTCTCAATCAATCGAGATTTCCTCATCAGCCGAGTTTGATGATGATGCGACCGGCAGTGTTGGTTGCAGGGAATTTTCCCGGCACGACGGGGCTGTGGCTGGGATGCGCCTTCTGCCAAACAGGAATAACAGGACAGCAGCGGCCTAGACCCTGGAGGCGCCCGCTGGAATCACACGTCGGGGCGGGTCGCTAATTCCCGCCATCAAGCTCAATGGATAGAGTCGAGGTCGCAGGGTGAATCTCCCACCGCCAATCTGTTGGACTCTGGGATCTGGCCGAAGGGATGATTGAGGGTTTCATGCCTGAGGTTGTCAAGTTTCTGTCGAGCCCTCGGTGGTGTTGAAGGATCAGAGAGAAAGAGGCACCTCATCTACTCTTTGGTTCCATCAACCAAGTAATGCACCACTGGAGGCCACTCAACCCGCATAACCATTTCGGGCACCCCGTGAACATGGAGGGTCCATGGCAAACACTTAGGTATTGATTACCTGCTGTAACTACGCGATATCTTTGTATTCTAAGAGGATGTCACCCGCACTCGATGCCTGCGTTATTTCCATTTATTATCTGCAAGCATTGTTCTTTCTTTCACTCTGCCACATTCACCCACCTGCCGAAATATCAAATCCGCTCAAGGCCCAGAACATACCAAGAAAGTTGCTTGGTTCTGTCGGCCTGTCGCCCGTCTCTTCTCGTGACCGCGTCGGTTTTGCGGCACCCGTTTACATGCAACCGGCCTCCTCAGCACACGGGTCACGACTCACTGCCGACTGAAGCGACCCTCCTTCGCGCGCAGTACCGATCCGGTTGTCCCACCCGGGTTCTTTTTTTAGCCGCCCGAGCCGGCCAGCACCCGCGGCCGCCAACGAGCAGCCGCGGGGGTCAAACCTGCAGCCACATGCCCTCATCTACCAGTCGTATGTGCCCATCAAGACGATGCATGCAGCGCTGGCAGACACTCAACCCCGCAGCTTTTGAAGCAGCGCCTGACCACATGACGAGGGTGGACGCTAGCAAGTCAGGTTGCAGGGCGTCGATCACCCGCTACCTCGTCTTGGCCTGCGCGATGGTTGGCCACCAAGGGGCCAGGATCCGCTTCCCCAGAACTCAGGCAACTTCCATCAAGAGCGCTCGCACCCATCTCGACCGTTCTGATGGCGACACATGCCCTGACCCAGTCTACATACGCCCCTCGCATCGCATCATGGCGCATGCTCGGCTCTTGATACATTTGGCAACGAATGGAAGGGGTTTGGGCCAGCGGAGCACGACCAGCGGCTGTGTTGGGTGGCAAGCCGAACGCAGCGATAGCGGCTGCACATGCGCCTCTTGACCTCAGCCGCAGGCATTTCGGGGCCTGTGCGTTTCTTGGAGCGTCCCTCCCCCAAGTTTCCTGTCGGCACTAAAAAGCTCTTGCCCTCCTCTGGTGGGGCGTCGGGCCAATGAGCGTTCGGCTCGCTGCCGCCAAGTGGACTGATATCAACTATAGGTGTCCAGGATCATAAACACTAGTGCGGTGGAGCAAGATACGTTTTCTTCCTTAGAAAACCAAGCCAACTGATGTACCACCAAGATCCACCGCACTAATGTTTGTGATCCTGGACACCCTGCCCTCTTCGCTAACCGTTGCCATCTTGGTGTGACAGCTGAAAAACGCCAAACCAGTGAGGATCGCTTGCGCTGCCGCTAGTGCCAGCCACGCACAAGGGAGTTTTATTGTTTTTCTTCCTGCTGTGACAGCCTCGACTCCAGATTTGCCCGATCTGGTTGCGCCTTGTCCATGCTTGCTATGGCGTCGGAGTCTCAGCCCGACCCGAAACCTTGCTCACCCCCCC